GCTCTACACAAGACAACTAGAGGTAGTTCCAGCCTCTACCAGAACCTTCCAGTGCCAAGAGGTGCAGTATTCCTGTGAAAATGAAGGGAGTATGCCCAAAGGATCCTCTTCAAGTCACATGGCATCTTTCTGAAGCTTAGCTCCCAGCAGCCTGGCTGCCGCTTCTCACTCACATGAACTCTTAGAAGAAGCCGACAGCTCCTGGGTCACTGGGAGAAGGTGGAGGTTCCTAAGCAGCCCTTTCCTACGTTCTGGTTGCTGCACCTTCCAAATCAGGGATGCCCTGGAAGGACCTGTGTGCCTGGGTACCCAGACAGCAGGATCCCTCAAGTTACCACTCGGGTTCTTCACATCTCGTGCTGTTTGCACAAGGTCAGACTCCGGGTGGAGTGCTCTTACCACCCCCCCACCCCCGCATAAGAAGATTTGTGGACTTAAGTTCGTTTTGTGCTGCTGAGAGGGTAAAAATATCACCTGACCGCTCCCCATGTGAATCTAATCCTGGTTAATCAGGCTTCTTGAGAGTCTAAAAACTGTGTCCTCAAGTGTTATCTGTGCTTGAATGGCGTTTTTGCTGCCCACCCTCCCAGCCAGGAAACCAGCAAGGGAGAGTCAGGAAAGACTCACAAGTGTAGCCAAGGGTTCTCCCATCTGCCAGCACCTCTTGGTTACAGAGAGATGAATGAGAGAGTATGCAGAAAGGAACGGGGAACCTGGGACCCCAAAGGAGGCAAGCTTCCTTGGTCTCTGAGATGAGATTAAACTGCTCTGCAGCCCTCCTTTGAAGTGTCCTGAACCCCCTCTACACTCCAGCCATATATAGTAAATGTCGTAGTAGTGAAAGACCCCCGGAGCGGCGAGACTCTCACTCAAGTCTCGGGATAACATGAATCCCCAGGAACTCACAAGAGACTGTTCTTGCTGCAGTCACATGAGGTTTGTTTGAGGCAAGGTTTCTCTGTGTAAGAGTCCTGGAACTTGCTTTGTAGACCAGGCTGGCCTTGAACTCACATCACCTGCATATGCCTCCCAAGTGCTGAGATTAAAAGCATACATCACCACCACCTGGCTAGTAATCCTCTTTTTAAAAAATATATATATATATATATATATTTATTTTCATCTTTTATTTATTTATTTAGTGTGTGTGCGTGTGCACACATGTGCCAATAGAGGTCAGAAATCCACATCAGATCCCTCATAACTGGGCTTACATACAGGCAGGTTTGTGCTGCCCAATATGGATTCCGGGATCCAATCCCTGATCCTCTGCAAGAGCAGCAAGTACTGTTAACCTCTGAACCCTCTCTCCAGCCACCTCCTTCTGCCTCTGTAAGATTTATTTTACTTCCATGTCAATCCTAAATCCGGTCTACTTGATAGTTGGAAATTATCCATCACCCCAGGTATAATATACACAAAGGCTGTTAGCTGGTAGATCTTCTGGATAGGCAGACCAAGGAGAGGTAAAATGTGTAGTCAGGTGGGCTGCTGGGATAGGAATAAATAGGCAACCAAACCTGATCGCCAGGTTTGGTTGGAGATGTCCTGAGGGTCTGACTGCAAGGCAAGCACTGAGGATCTGCTCTGAGGGGAAATGAGTGTTCCTCACAGACCAGTCCTTTGCAAAGTTGAGGGAAACGGAGACCTCGGGTATTTGGCTGTGACCAGGAAGCTTCAGGAGACCAGTACAGAACACAAATCTACCTTCTGGCTTGAGGTAGGGAGGGTCCTGCAGCCTACACCACTAAGGTGGGACAGAAAAAAGGCCTGCCTCTCTCTTCTGTCTACCCAGGCATCATTGGCTGACTGCCTGCAGAGCTCTCTGGGCAAGAAGAGCTCAAAATGAGAGTTGTTCAGGCCCAGGCCCTCCATCACTGGAGACGGGAATGAGTACGGAGAAGGCCCGGTAGTCCTCACCGTGGTAGAGAGAGACCTGAACTGGGGTCCAGGTCAGCAAGAAACATCTCTAAGCAGGATTGATGCATAGTCGTGTGACAAGTTTGGGGAAGACACAGCCATGTAGAAGCAGATACCTCCCTAGGCCCTGGTCATCCTATACTTTGACTTTCACTACAGAATCGTAGAATTTTCCTGGAAGATTTCTGAATATCTCTGGTCTGCCAAGTTCCCCAGGAAGTGGTAGCTGGGCACCTCTTCGGGAGGAAGCTAGTCACCTAGCATCAGCAGCAAGCATTCTTGAGTGGTCCTCAGCTGCCGGCTATGGGTGTCTCAGGAGCTGGGGCAGGCCCAGTCTCTCTCCACAGCTGGGCTCCAGGCAGCAACCTCCAGCTGTGACTCACTGGGCCATGGATTCTCCAAAAGAGGGATTAAAGCAGAAGTGAGACACACCCCTGCATGAGAACACAGGAACACCAGAGCTTGATCAGGAGACGCTCTTTCCAGGGCCAGCATCTTCTTCCTGGAACTTCTTGCTTGGCACAGAGCAGATGTGTCAGGCACAGGAAAGGGAGGGGGAGCAGTGTCTAGACTTTTCATTCCCCAATCGGAGAAACTGATAATGAGGACCCAGGTTCAAGTTCATGGTTCATTTCCTAGTGTTTGAACTCCGTCAGAGGCTTTCCCACTGAGTCTCAATGCCATTGTCTATGCTTTGGTGGAGATAACTTGTTTTTAGTGCACATTAGGTACCAGGAAGCTCTGCTCTTAATTTCTATAGGCCATTAGAAAACAAACCACACACACACACACTTTAATTTAAAAAAAAAATATGATCGCTGTGTCTTAAGGAGCAGACCTGGGTTCAGAGAGATAGACTGACCTACCCAGGTTCTCTCAGCAAGGAAAGATAGGCTCAACATTCACACCAGGCCTCACTGACCACAAAGACTATGCTCTAGTTAGAGTCCAGTGCACAGGGCTGCTAAGAGTTCTAACAGGTGACAGCTGGGGCCCTGAATGGCAAAGCACAAGGAACAGGTTTAGCCCCATCCAACACTGCTGCTCGGAGCTATCAGGGTGATGACCTCTCCAGGGAGGTATCAGCCTCACTGGCTCCAAAGGGCAGTGCCTCTGTACTCCCAAACATGAAGGGAGAGACTCTAAAGGTGAAGGCGGGTGGAGAGCGGGAGCAGAGCCACGGTGAGGGAGCCCCCAAGGCAGTGCTTCTCAACCTTCCTCACACTGTGACCCTTTAATACAGTTCCTCGTGTTGTGGCGACCCCCCCACCCGTAACATTATTTTTGTTACTACTTAATAACTATAATTTTGCTCTGTTATGAATCGTAATGTAAATATTTTCGGAGATAATGGTTTGTCAAGGGGTCATAACCCACCCTTGAGAACCACTGCCCTCGGTGTCAAAACTAGCTGTAAGCTCCCTGGATCAGCCTCAAAGCCCATGGTAACCACTCTTGAAGGTTGAGTGTTTGCTGTATCTCACACGCCATATATTAGGACCCCTTTCTCACTGGTCCCCAGAAAGCACTGAAGGGCCAGCTGCCACCACCTGGAAGAACAGAGGTGCCAGAGGCAGGGGTTACCCTGCCTTGTATTCTTTGATGCCTGGTGTCATTTGTACCCTTGCCCTTGAGACAGTCCAGGCATCTTGTTGGGTTACATTTTACACAGAAAGCATCTGGGATTCAAGGAAGAGAAGCAACCATGACTTATGTAGTGTATGCACTGGGTGCCCTGAGCTGGTCCCCTTTGTGCCTATCAGTCTTTCCACACAGGCCTGGAGGAGCACTGTTCTATTTTCTGGATCCAGGAAGCAAGGATTAGAGAGATGAAGGGCCTGGCCCATAGCACACAGGAACTCTGGTGTGGTCTCTACGACTGTTTTCACTCTGCTGTTGGCAGGCTTCACTCAAAACCTTCCATGATAAGAATAGGTGATGCCAAGTATCCACCGACCAGGATGGAGCTGCAGAGCGGTTTAGGGAAGGCTCTTACTTTTCTCTAGCATGTTGGAGGCCTTCCACTGGCCCCAGTCTTACTCTCTGCTTTCTGGGTCTGTCCACATGAATCCAGCAAGTCAGAACGCAGAAAGGCCTGGAAAAGGTCTGCTTTTCAGTGATGAGAAAGACAAGATTTCACCAACAGTCACTGGCCAGGAGTCAAGGTGATTGCAAAAAGAATTTCTGACACAAAAATAATAAAAGAGATATTCCTGGGCCCTTCTGGGCAGCCCAGGAGCTGTTGAGGTCCTAGATGTTACTTTGCCTTTTCCTGCCCAGACTCCTGTTCAGGTCTACAAAAAGGAGAGATATGCCGGAGTTCATTGGGGCCCCTCTATCTGACCCTTTCTCCCTGCAAGAAGCAGAGTGCCTGCCAAGCAGAGAACTCCAGGTAGAAACAGCCAAAGCTTAAAGGGTGGAGATTCCAGAGGGATGGGAGATAAAGCAATGAAGCTGCCCACCTCCTGCATGCAGTGGGTGCTGACTCCCAGAAAGTGGAGTCAAGGCCAGCAAGGGACCGAACAGAGCCATGACAGAAAGGATGGAGAGATGGATTTAAGTTCCTCGGTCTAAGTCAAGCACCGAGAGGATATGCCCATCACAAAGGGAACCTCCAGGGAAGGAACTTAGGTTCTGAACCATTTTCCCCCATTGGAGGCACTTGCTCATATGTAAGTTGCGTGGGTTCAGAGTTTAAGAAGCAGAGAAGTGTAATCGAGAGACTTAAAAACTGAGCTGCTGATTGTATTAGGTGTTTTTGTTGTTGTTGTTGTTGTTTTCTTTTTCTTTTTGGCTGACAGAATACCTGCCAGGAACAACTTGAGGGGGGTTGGATTTTCTGTGGCTCATGATTTCATGGTCCATTGGTTCACCGTGGTGGGCAAAGCCAGAGCGACTCCATCAATGGCGGCAAGAGTGATGGCACACTCTGGTAGAGTTCAGGCTTGAGACAGGAAAAACAGGTGCTCCCCAAGCCTACAGGAAGCCCCTGGGCTTGTGGGGAAAGTGTAGAGAGAGAAACAGTTCCCAAATCAACGTTACCGACTTTCCTCTTCTTTTCTTCCCCCTTTTCCACACAGATATTCATCAAGCTCTGTACCTTCTTGGAGATGTCCTTTAAGTTCCCATCCCTGGTGACAGCCTGGGAAACACAACACTCTAATTAAGGATTATCTCAAGCCACACTTTCTGGAGGAGGGTGGCCAAGCAGCCAGCCCCACATCCTGTACCAAGACTTTCTTACAGGTCCTTCAGGAGATCACTCAGGCTGAGGATTACACCTTGATCCCTTTTGCGTGGGGGAGAACATTGCTCTCCCCAGCCTGCATTAACCTCATCAAGTCACAGTTTCAACTTTTCTTGGGGTTGCAAAAGAAGCAGACTACGCTGTTTACCCAAAGGAAGACAACACAGTCACCAACTGCATCTCATGGTCCGCCATCATGTGCCACACAGAGATATCCCAAGCCCAGACCTAGACCAAAATTCACCCTAGCTGCCTCAGAGGTCTCCCCTTCCTGCTGCCTGCTCCTGTGTCTCTGGAGTCTGCCCATCTCTACACAGGGCCTCTCTCCTCTCTGTGACCACCACCCCCATTAACACAGAGAACCCAGCAAAGTGTGAAGATGGTGAACATGAGGAAGAGGAGCCTCAAGTGGCTCACCTTCCTCCTGCTTCTCTTCTTCCTCACCTCCTTCGTCTTGAACTACTCGAGCATGGGAATGCCCACTGCCTGGTTCCCTAAGCAGATGGTCCTGGGTTTCTCCGACAACTTACGCAAGCTCATCAAGTCACAGCCGTGCACCTGCACACACTGCATCAGCGAAGACAAGGTCTCGCCCTGGTTCGACCAGCGCTTCAACAAGACCATGCAGCCGCTGCTGACAGCCCGCAATGCTCTGATGGAAGAGGACACATATCATTGGTGGTTGGTGAGTGGAGTCGGGCCTGAGGGCAGGGTTGGGGGAGACAAAGGCTAGGTCTGGGAGACCTGGGGACTCACCAAGCATCTGGCAGCATTTAGAATGTCACTTATTTTCACTCAGCAATTGTTTATTGAGCATCTATCACGTGTAAGTCAGAGAAAAAAACCCTACTGCTTCCCCCGCCTGTGGTTCCCATAACCAATTCCCATGGATCTGGTGGGCTAAGGCATCAGAAGTGAGTGACCATGTGACACAGTCCTGGGGGCCAAGGGTCTTTACCCCCATGCCTTTCTCCTGCTGCTGCTGCTACTGACTGTTCGTGGCCCACATCTGCAGCTCCTGGTCTCTGCTCCCATATCCCATGGTTTTCCTGTGTCTCTGGTGTCCTCTTCTGGGAAGGGCTTGTGGCCTTGGCTCTAGGGTGCACCCTGAATCCAGGCTGGTCTTTTCTGCCACCAGTAGCAAAACCAGATCTTAGCAGGTGATAGGAATGAGAAATGCAGTTGTGGTCCGCAGTGTCTGGAATTGGTCCTCGCTTCTTCCCTCGCACCCAAAGGTCAGCTAAAGTCCTAGTCTCACACACAGTGGATATTTGGAGAGTACCTATATTGTGGATGCATGCACTTTCTTCCTGTCTCCTGTCTTGGGATGTGGGTGACTATCACTAACCACCTGTGCCTTCACAGTTAGTATCTGGGTTTGGTGGACAGGGAGCCAGCCTGTCCCGCCAGAGGCAAATGGAGCCAAACTAACCATCCCCTCTGTTCTCCACCCCAGAGGCTCCAGCGGGAGAGGAAACCTAATAACTTGAGTGACACCGTCAAGGAACTGTTCCACGTGGTACCTGGGAATGTGGACCCTGTGCTGGGCAAGAGATTGGTGGGTTGCCGGCGCTGTGCAGTCGTGGGAAACTCTGGGAACCTGAAGGGCTCCTCCTATGGGCCTGAGATTGACAGCCACGACTTCGTGGTGAGGTGAGCACTGGATGGACCCTTAACCCAAGCCCAGGGAACCTCAGAGGTTCAGCACAGAGGGACAAGATTCCAGGCCTGGGCCCCAGGACTGATGACCTCTGGGTCTCAGTTCCCCCCATCTTTCCCTAGCAAGGTGACATAAAATAAGGAAGTCTTGACTAGAGATGTCAAAGGGGGTAGTAACTTAGTACCTAAGGCCTATTGAGTGTGCAAAACTGAGTGTGCTTCTGTGGCCCAAATTCACCCCTAACTTTCAATCTGGACCATGACCCAGAAGCTTTTAATGTCAGCTTTGCTTCCTCTGTATCCCAGTGGAAGTGGCATCTCAGGAAAAAGCACTATGTCTTCCTTGAGTTTTTCATAATTCCTATTCAGAAGTGTTCTGGGACACAGCATAACTAAAGGTGAGACTCAGTATCCCCTCAGATATACAGATAAATAGATACATACATACATACGTAGATGGTGGATGGATGGGTGGGTGGGTGAGTGGATGGATGGATTGGTGGATCTAGAATCTAGGACAACCTTATTTCTGTATCCTTGACTTCATGTCCATAGGCCCCTTTCCTGGCTTTCAGTGGGAATGCCTACAATGAGAAGCAAAGTTGGGTTCAGAGTCAGGCAAATCTGAGTTCAAAGCTGTAGCTTGGTAGACAGCTTGTCTGGGCTCTGGATCATTGAAAAGGTGCCCTTAGTAGGCACAATTACCTGTGACACAGGTAGTTGATTGTTAGAGGGCAAGATCCACCCTACTTGCTTTTATAAAAACAAAACGAAAAAAAAAAAAAGCCTCGTCCTCTGTCTTGATGAACTAGTTCTGGAACTTGGCCTCATGCATGCTAGGCAAACTGTACCCCCAAACAGAGTTGTTCAGACTGACTTTGAACTTGCCATCCTCCTGGCTCTGCCTCCCATGTGGCTGGGATTTCAGACCTGCTATACCAGGCTTGTCTGGCCTATGTCTGCAATGTTCCCATTGCTCACATGGGGAAACTGAGGCCTAGGGAACAAAGAAGCTCACTTGTGGGTACCACACAGGCGACTCCACCTCCAGCATCCTTACCTCTTGCCTCGTTTTCCTCTCCTCCCAGGATGAACAAGGCGCCCACGGTGGGCTTTGAGGCAGATGTTGGGAGCAGGACCACCCACCATCTTGTGTATCCGGAGAGCTTTCGGGAGTTGGGAGAGAATGTCAGCATGATCCTGATCCCCTTCAAGATCACCGACCTGCTGTGGGTGGTCAGCGCCACCACCACGGGCACCATTACTCAGTGAGTTTCTCTAATGACTGTCCTGTGCCCATCTGTCGCTCATTCCTGCTGGATGTCCTTTGGGATTCCTCTCCCCCATGCCTCCTGGTACATATGTGACCGCTGCTGCCACCTCCTTGGTTGATCCTACCTGACTTGTTCACCCTCCGTTCCGAGAGCCTGTTGTGGTAGCTTCATGTCCATCCTCAGCGCTGAGAGCCCCTCGTTGTGATAGCTCCATGCCCACCCTTAGTTCTGAGATCCCTTTGCTGGTAGACTGCAGCACAGAACACTCAGGGCTGCTGAACACACACGTTGTGGCTAAGTCAACATTGGCTCTTGGAGAGTAAGTGCTGCCATCTGCTCCCCAGGCGAGGTGCCTATCATTTGGTCCTCCCAGCAATGCTTCTCATTAGCTCCGGCCTCCAGGGAGCAACCGTGACTGGGCCAAACCACTCGCCCAACACTGAACTTGACCCAGAGCCCGTGCAACCATCTGGGTCTAATTCCTGAGTCCCTGCCTTTTCTCGAAGGGGAGTGGCTTTCATTTTCCAGATGTCCGCATAACTCCTGGTCCTAGCCCAGGTCTCTTAAGGGCAGAGCTAAAGCCAAGAACTGTGGGTTCCAGGAACTCCATGCCTCCGGGGGCCAGAGTGTGAGGGAAGGGCTCAGCAAGAGGTTGGGCCAGGCGGCTGGCTCAAGATGCTCCCCTGGTACCCAGGCACATGGAGAGCCTGCATTGCGTCAGTTATGTTCCACGTGGTGGTGGATTTTACACCTTGCCACTGTAGCTCATGTCTTCTCGTGTGAGCTGGAGACCGCCACAGGTCACCCCTGCCAGTTCCCCAGTAATCAGCCTGGGCCCCACCAATGGGCACAGATCTTCTGACTCTGGAAGATGAAAACAAATATCCTTAGGTCCCTGAAAGGCTATGTTTGGAGCCAGTCCCCCATTCTGGTCCAAATTAGCCAGGGTTGCCCCCTGGTGTCACTCTGGTGCTACTGCAGGAGCAATGCTCCATCAGGCAGGTGGCTTCTGAGAACCTAAGCCTCCCTCCCCTCCCCATGGCTATGTCATTCCCCAGAGCTTCTGGCACACAGGTGGTCCTTCTCCATGTTAATAAATCCCTTCTCTTTCCCGATTCGCAGCACCTACGTCCCCGTGCCCCCGAAGATCAAAGTGAAAAAAGAGAAGGTAAGTGGAAGTTTAGGACTCTCTAGCTTTGCTGGCTCCTTTTCCAAGATTTGGTGCTGTGATGGAGGCACTGAGCTACACAGAGTGCCCTGGCCCTGATCTGACGTGGTTGCTGGCACCTGTGGAGCTTCTGCTAAGGGCAGGTCCTCACATTGGGTCTCCAGAACAGCAGCACCACCTGGGAACTTGGCATAGGGTGGGATTCTTCAGGAATACCCAAACCTAATTGTAGCCAACCCAGAGTAGCACCCGCTATCCAGCTCTCACAAGCCCCTGGAGGGTGGGGCAAGTGTAAGCTGCAGTTTTGTTTTGTTTTGTTTTTTACCCATTCCTGTGAGCCTCCCAAAGCCAGGCTCACCTCTTTGTCTCCACACCTCCATCCTCCCCAGTGGGCCCCTATACTGCACTGGCCCAGACATGGACAAAAGCAGGAACATGTGTGGAAAACCCATCACACTGGATCTTTACATGCACAGTCATACTTCAGGAGGCTCAGAGAGGCCAGCGCTATGCTCAGGGACACAGCCTAGATCATGCTACGACCAGATGAAGTCCCCCATATGCCTGCAACAAGCTGGCCTTGGCCTTGGGCAGCACAATCCCAGACAGAAGCCATAGAAATCTCTGTAGGGTGGGTCTCTCTCCTCAGACCCAAAGCCCTGAAGCAAAGCTGAGAAATGAAGAGCCCTCAAGAGACCTGTGAGTCTATTCCTTCAACTCTTCCATAAGGAATAGTTTAAGGCTGCCCATTCCTTCAACCCTTCCCTAAGGGGTGGTTTAAGGCTGCCTATACCCTTTGCTGTTCCCAGAGTCCCCTTCAGTGTCTCCTAGGCGATCACAGGGGATGAGGCCAAAGCCGCGCCTGGCACAGGGAAACCTTCATGGCTATGTAACACTGAGCATGTTGCTTGGCCTCTCTGAGCCTTGATGTCATCATAACAGGAGAGGAAACCCCTGCATGTAGTTTACCTTAGGTGGGAGATCCCAGCCAATGCCAGGCAGAACAGGTGTCCCACGGGTATGTTTTTGATGCAGTGTGTCACTGTCATGATCCCTCACACTGCTTCGTGGAACACTTCTGGATCCTTGGGTCACACTCCCTGCCCCCAGAGGAGTTTTTATTTCGGCACTCCTGTCCCCTTCAAGGCTTCTCCCTGGTGCTATAAAACTGTTCTGTGCTTATTCTTGCCGGTAAGCCTACATTACTCTCCAGCCCTACCCTGTAAAAAAAGCAGGCTTAGTCTCCCCAGCACTAAGTCCACAAATGCAAGGGTATTTGTCAGAGATCTGCATGACCACGTTCTTATGGTCACAACATTATAGCATTTACTAGACGCTCTGTGTCTTTTGCTGGCTGTATTCACCCAGTCCCTTCTCCCTGCAGATCCTGATCTACCACCCAGCCTTCATCAAGTATGTCTTTGACAGATGGCTTCAGGGGCATGGGCGGTACCCATCCACTGGCATCCTCTCGGTCATCTTCTCCATTCATGTCTGTGATGAGGTATGCAACCTATGTTTCTGCAGGCTAGAGGGGCAAAGACCACCCGCTCCATGTTTCCATGGGAAACCAGGGTAGGGGAGAGGGCAGAAGACAGTTCCTAATCCCATCTTTCCAAGGGACTCTGGCACCTGTGTCACCGGGTTTGTGGAGAAATGGCAGGAATATGATATCGTTCTCAAGAGCAGGAATTCTGGAACATTCCAGTGGGGGAGGCTAGACTATGACTCAGCTCAAAATGAAGAAGCAGATTCTAGCCAGCTTAGACAGGGAGAGCTGCAAAGGCCACAGTTACCACCCTCAGGTTGCTTGTTAGAGCCACCGGGGAACTACATTCAGTACTTGGGCCATACCCTGACTCACGTCACCAGAATTTCTAGGAAGCTATAAGGGGCTTCTGCTACCCACCAACTGTGAGAACCAAAGCCAGAGTGGGAACCTCAGAGGCACTGCACCCATCTCTTATCTCCCGTCCCTCCCAAAGATCCCTGCTCTGTTGTGCACACCCCTCTCTAGCTCCAGTCTGCCCTCCCCCCATAACTAGATGGTATCCTCTCCCTTAAGGCCCCTTTGAGTGCCTCCTTCCTGGTCTCCATCTGCTCACTAGTTAAACCCAACTCGGATGTCCCTTCCTTGAAAGAGCCTCTTATCATCTCGGGTCTACGGCCTTTCCACAGTATCCTGGGAGGCCTGACTTTGACCCTTCTCTAAGTGACATCCTGTCTATGACTGCTCTAGGTTACAAGGATTGCAGTTGAATGGGTTTGTCCCTGAAGTCCCCAGGACCTGCCAGGTGGCATCTGAGGAAAGTAGACCTGTCTGCATTTGATTTGTCACACTGTGCAGAATAAGTTGTCGCTGGTGTTTGTCATGTGTGCGGGGGGGGGGGGAGCCTCGGATGTTGGTCTCAGAAGGAAGGGTTTGGACCCTGTCACCTACCTTCCGTGTTCATGCCTCCTGGCCTCCTTCCCAGATGAGAAAATGAGACTCTGCTATGATGTAATGTGTTAAGAGTCAGCTCAGATGAGGGACAGTTTGGCTGCCTTCCGAGCCCCTCTCTCCACCTTCCCTCCAGGACCTCTGGGAGCTCCAGTGAAGGCCCAGTGCCCCTCAGGACCACCTACCTGAGGTCACCCCAAGGTTCCCATGAGCAGGAGTTGGACTTGAGCCTTTCTTGGCTTTCTGAAGAAGGTTCCTCCCAACCATTAACATTCACCTTAAAATTCCAGGGATATCCAGGCCGCCTTTCCTGAATCCCCCACCCTGCTAGCATGCTCATGTCATCTAGGTCTCACCTAGCCTTTGTCCCACAGGTGGACTTGTACGGCTTCGGGGCAGACAGCAGAGGGAATTGGCACCATTACTGGGAAAACAACCCATCTGCGGGTGCATTCCGAAAGACTGGGGTGCATGATGCGGACTTCGAGTACAATGTCACAACCACTCTGGAAGCCATCAACAAAATTCGCATCTTCAAGGGGAGATGACGCCGCGACCCATTAAGGATGGACATACCACATCTCACCTCTCAACTTGCAGCCCCAGCATCTCACTGGAGCCATTCTGTTCCAGATGTTTCCAGGGCTGAACTTGGGGTGTTCCCAGGCTTGCTGGCAGCCTCTTGCACCCTCATTTTGGTAGCATCCATTTGACATAGCTGTCCAACTCTCCCAGGGTACAGAGGAAGTCTCAGGCCTCTCTAAGGTTGGAACACTTCTCCACTGTGGTTCCCCAAGTGGGAGAAAGTGGGAAGATACTGAGAATGGGCTAAACTCTGAATAATGAATGATGGGGTGGGGTGGATAAGTCCCGAAGATTGCTATGTTCAAAAAAGTGGGCATTTTCTGGAAGTCATTTGGAGGCTGCCACTGAACTGTGGACTTCAAGCTCAACTCAGACTCTGACTGGGGTGTTTGTGACAGTTATCTCTGGAGCAGAGCCACAGTGGGCTACACCAGCACTGGGGCAAGATACTGTTCTCCTTTGCATGAAGCCTGGCCTGTCACTTGATATGGCATCCCCGTTGTCCCTTTCTTCCAAAAGCTCACCTATGATGGCTGGGAAGAGCTTCTGATCGCAGGGGTCTTCCTTCGAAAGCTGGCCATGTTACTGACAGGAGGGAAACCCTCTTCACCATCCTGTGTGATCACCCTCCACAATGAGACATTTGTATGAACAGAGCAGGTTTGACTCCTTCCACGTGCCTTTGAACTTGAGGAAGAAACGCATGCATTGGCTGACACGAAGCAAAATCCCCAACTGGAGAAAGGAGACCTCCATCAGCACCCCGCTGCCTAGCTCAGAATCTCTTCTCTGAGGATACTTTGTACCATTCAGAGTGTGCCAGGCATGGGATGGGTGCTCACTTCTCTTCCCTCAGACTGTTGGGTTCAGGACCACTGATAACCAGCATCCTCCCCTGGGTCCTGAACACTGGATCAAGTCTCTAGCAGCCACCTTCCTAGAGTCCTTGGGGTCACAATGAGGACCCCCTAGGAACACAACTGAAATGCATGTACCTCTTCTCACTTCCTCTGTCCTCCCCTTCTCCCTACAGACTTCCTGTTATTTATTGATTTGTTCATCCAGCCAACCCTGTGCACTCTCTTCCCCAATGCTGCTCGTGGTGTTTCTGTTGCTTTGCCTGGCAAGCGGAAGTAGGACTAGAAAGGAAAGCGTCTGAGCATCCTGGAGCTATGTGTTGAGACATCAGGACCGGGAGCTAGCTGTTGGGCAGATCGTATGGTACTAATGATCCTTTGTACACCCATATCACCTCCCTTTCTAGTACAGCTGACTTGCCTACTTCCTCGTTGCAGAAGGGAATTCCCTCAGACTGGGACTTCCGGCCTCAATGACGAGACAACTCCTTGGTGAGGGAATTGGACAAGGGTGAACAGGCACTGACCGTAACTGTCGCCCCCTTACAGATGTTCAACAAGAGAAGCCTCTGCTTCTGTTGACAGTATGCCCTAAAGACCACTGCAGCTTCATCAAAGCAGAATATGAGAGCCGTATCTTGAGGGTTGGGAGACCTTCACTTGCTTAGGCTCCCCTCTACAGTGTGAGCTCAGGGGTCTCAATCAGGGACCACACACAGCCTTCATAGGCATCACCAAAGAGCAGACACCAACATTGTCGTTTTCCAGGAGTCGGTCCTGTGAGTGGCTTTGCTGTAACTTTTTTTTTTTCAGTTCTCCAAGACTCAGAATCCAGGCTTTTAATGGCGGAACATGATGCTTTACTTTGAAAATCTTTCCGACATAAGACCCTTGACTGAAAAAGCTGAACTCTTGTGAGATCCTCGCTCTGGAGAGACAGTCTCAATTATCCGAATGTGAGGAACTCAGCAGGTGTTTGCTCGTCAGTGGACATTGGCGTAGGGGTGGCCACTCAGGTGTCCTGAGTTCCACTGCACGAGAGTTCCACTCTCACCTGTAGTGAGAGTGTAGCCATGTCTAGCTGAACACAACTCAGGAAACTCTTCTAGTCCTCATCGGCCCCTCCCACTCCCTTTCCCTGCCTCCCTTCCTCCCTCCCCCCTTTCCTGTCCCTCCTCCAGCCAAGGAGCCAGCCTTTCTCTTTCCCATAACCCTTAGCCTCCCCTGCGATTCTCTGGCTTAGCAGTGGGCTCTTAACTGAATCAAATACAGCCCGCTGTGGCCAGAATTAACTCCACCAATTCATTTAAGGTAATTGGAGCTTTCCTTGGGGGTGTGAGTGACTGAGAACAGGAAGGGCCTTTCCCAAAGAGACTGGTCTGGCTGCTGACAGAAGCGCTGGTTCGGGCTACAGTGCATAGAGCTGATCAGGAAGCTGCTAAGTCCAGGGGAAACGAGGGGAGTCTCAGCAACACCCTAGACTATGAGCCAGGAGACTTGTGTTTCCTGTGCTGCTCTTAAGGGATAGAGAAGCAAATCTGTAGTCTTTAGTTCCCAGAAGAGACAAGCCAGTGAGGAAAATCCTTACATTGATACCTTAGGTTGGCTTTGGGGCATCAAGCAACAGCCATTAAACCGTGTGGATTGGGCTAGTGGGTGGGTACAGGAAGAGTAAAGGAGACCAGCAGCTAGCTAGGGCCTGAAGGTCTGGTGCTGCAGTCTCCATTGTGACCACATGGGGCTGCTATAGGCCCATCACACCTTCTGGGAACAGGCCTTCCCTGTCAAATGTGGGAAGGACCAGAGTGGATGACCCAGAGATTGGTTTTTACCTGTGCCCTTCAAAGTAGCCCGAACATGCAGGGTGGGAGAAGCCCTGGGTGCCCACTGCCCACCAGGGAATAAGGTGACAAGTTCATGCCCACAAGGAGCTGACAGCTAAAGCCACGGGTTCCACCATAGTCACCCGAGGTGAGAAAGATTTGGCCTTGACTGCTCAGCCACCATGGCTAGCCACTTTTGAGATACCACCGGCTTTCCTCTCGGCACTTTCTCCTGTGCCTCAGGTAAACCTTGAAGAAACAGGGAGGGTGAGGAGGAAGGCAGAGACCGGCAGAGCAGCCTCAGAGTGTAGTGACTGCATCGTTACCCAAGCAGCCTGTAGCCTCAGTCAGGCCCAGCCTTGAGCCTGCTTCCGCTTGCTGCTCTCCTTCCACGAAGGGAGGACCCCCTCTTCACACCCCACCCACCACCACTCTGCTCACTGAGCTTTGACCTCCGCTCCTCCTGCCCAGGGTCTGTGCCATGGCACCCGCTTTAATCCTTTCTCCAGAGCTTCGTCTGGATCTTGCTTGCCCGTCTAGGTGGATGTGGTTCCCTCCTGCACCCCCAGACCCCTGCACAATCACTTTAGCCCTTTCCCCAGAGCCTGATCTGGACCGTGCTCAGCTCACTCCTGTAGGTGGCTGTGGGTCCCTCCTGCACCCCCAGACTCGTGCACAATCACTTTTCCCAGATCCCCTTCAGAGCCAAAGTCACCCAAGCACTTTCCCTCCCAAGGTCTTCTCCGCCCTTGCTTCCGGCGCATGTTCCAGCGTCACTCATTTAAACTTTGCTTTTTTGTGGCCCCGTCCTGTAACCCTCCTGATTGCTCTGAATGCATTTCCAGTGACGTTGGTAAGTCGGCCTTCCTCAGCCCCTGCTTCGTTTTATTTATTGTTGAATATTTCCAATGATCCGAATCAAAGTGAATAAAAAGAGCTATTTTATTGTTTGGGTGTTTTCAGAGTTCTGCTTTGGTGACGTTTCTAGTCAGGGAGAGGGGGCGTTCAGTCCTGAAATGGCTGCATGAGTCATCTCCTAGGGTCCCCTGGGATGTTGTCCTCGCGTAGGGGTTCAGGAGACAGAGTGGAGCCATTCCCTGCTATGTGACTGTGCTGAGTTACTTAACCTCCCTGAACCGCTACTGCTGTGCATCAGATGGACTTGACCTTGCCAATCTTCAAAGGGGGCTGGGACTGGAAACAGAATGTCCCAGGAGGCCGAGGTAGACACAGGCCAGTGGCTCTGATGTTTGCTTGGCTGGGGCCCAGTGTGCACAGAGGAGACAGCCACACCCTGGGAGGAGCACCAGTCAGGTCTGAAGCTGATGCAATCACTCTCACTTGGCTTTTTAAAGAAATATTACCAAAAGCCTTAAATTGGAACTTCGTCATATGGGATTGGTGTGTGCCTGTGATCTCCCTCCCTCATGATAGGCATGGCACTTTCTGGTCTATATGCCACCTCGCTTGCCCTGGCTGCCCTTCCAACACAGCTCACCACAGGTGGTAAACAGAAGGCAGAAGTGAGCCTTGGGTCCTAGCGCATCCTGCTGCTCCACCTCTGAATTCACTGGATGCTTTCTGAAGTCAGTTCCAAGACAACACGCGGTCCCGAGAGCCAGGGCTACTGCCTGGCTGTGTGAGGCTGAGCTGATGCCTGGGCCTCACTGTGCCTGGCCCCATGGATAAAGCTGGGGTAGTGATGTACCAGAGAATATATATGCATTAAGAACCGAGTTAGCACAGGCAGTGGGCTTAGCAAGGAACCCAGCACTGGACAGAGGAACTTCAGCCACACTAGGAAGGGTGGCTAGACTCCAGCCTGGTCTGAATTTACCCCTGCTCCCCCTGTGCCCATCCCTGCCTTCTGCCTTCCCAGGATTCACCATGCCTCTTCTCCATCTCTAGCATTCCTTTTCTTCCATCCCTTCTATTTCCTCCCCAGGGGTCATGCTTATTTATTATCAACACACACAATATACATATAAACTATACACTGATATGTATAGCATACCTGAATACACACCACAGTGATAATGCATAAAACATACTATGTATACACAGTGCACACAGACATAATACAAACCATTACACATCACACGTACTACAAATAAACACATCATAACACAACACAATACTACACATATATAGTACACCCAACACACATCATGACACACATACAAACAAAACATCATACACGCTATTTCACATACACCATACATATATACATATACCACATCACACATACTAACACTACACCACAGACACTAGAACACATGCACACACACACACACACATACACACACCCACACACACACACACACACGCACACACACATACACACACACTCCCTCAGTGACCCTGTTCCCTTAGACAGGCTTTGGTTTCATTTGCACAATGGACAAGCAGCCACGAGGTGGCAGTATTCTGTCATTGGTTTCTAAGGAACGATGCCTGGCCCCCTGACTTTGTCCCCTGTATACCACTTATGTCAGATCTCAGGCCCAAGTCACTGTAACGTACATTAGCCAAAAACACTAAGAGTCTGCAGACATTTCTCCAGGACTTTTCTGGCACCTCCTGCACACAGTGGCTGCTCCTGTGTTTGTTAGACTAACACCTCAGGGACTTAAAGATTTCTGAGTATATATTTGCTTATTTATTCTGAAGAAACAAGAAGGAATTACCCAGCCAGCCCTCTGTCCCTGAGGGCTGCATCCCTGTGTCCAACTAACCACATATAGTAAAGAAAAAAATCTATCTACATAAAAAAAATCTAGCTACATAAAAAATCTAGCTACATATATAAAAATAGCTATTTAATGTGTCTGCAGTGAGTATGCACAGACCTTTTTTCTCTGTGTGGTGTGAGTGTGTATGTATATGCTGTCTGTGATGTGGTAGTAGTGGAAGAAGAATGTATGTGATTATATGATGTGTATGTGTGTGATGTGTATAGTTTGTGTGTTATGATGTATGTGTGTGTGTGTGCGGTGTGTCTTATGTGTTGTCTTAGTCAGGGTTGTTATTGTTGCAATGACCAAGCCATGACCAAAGAAGAGGTTTTGTTTGGCTTACATTTCTGTATCACTGTTCGCCATCAAAGGAATTCAGGACAAGAACTTGGAGGCAGGAGCTGATTCAGAGGCCATGGAGGAGTGCTGCTTATTGACTTGCTCCCCATGGCTTACTCAGCCTGCTTTCTTATAGACCCAGGACCACCAGCCCAGGAGTGGCCCTACCCACAATGGGTTGGGCAGTCCCCTCCCTATCAACTTTTAAGCAATAACATGTGCAACAGGCTTGCCTGCACCCAGTATTATGGAGCCCTATTCTTAATTGAGGTTCCCTCCTCTCAAATAACTTTAGTTTGGGTCAAGTTAACATAAAACTATCCAGCACAAGTGTGGTGTCTGTGTGTACAAGTTGCTCGCAGAAGTCAGGGGAGGATCTCCAGGTCTTCCTATCTCACTCTCTGCCTTATTTGTGTTGACACGGATTCTCTCCTGAGCTAGTTTGGTAGCCAGCAAACCCCAGCCAGCCTCCTGTCCCTACTCCCTGCTGTTCTGGTGTTGGGAACACAAGATTTTCATACAGATGCCTGATGGAGGAAGGTCATTGGTTAAATAAAGAAACTGCCTTGGCCCTGATAGGTTAAAATTTAGATAGGCAGAGTAAACAGAACAGAATGCTGGGAGGAAGAGGAAGTGAGCTCAGATGCCGTGCAGCTCTCTCCAGGGCAGACACGATGAAGCAAGCCACCAGGTTAGACATGCTGAATCTTTCCCAGTAAGACCGGTGCTATGCAGTTTATTAGAGATGGGTTGATCGGGATATCAGAATTAGCCAGTAAGGGCTAGAACTAATCGGCCAAGCAGTGTTTAAAAGAATACAGTTTGTGTGTTGTTATTTTGGGGCATAAGCTAGCCTGTGGCCGGGAGCCGGGCTGTGGGAAGAGACCTGCAGCTCCCACAACAGATGCCAAAGTGCATCTTTCCCTTGCTTCCCTACCCCTCAGTTCTCCCACAGGGATTACCCAAGGCCTGAACCAGAGAGTAAAACTAATCCTCTTCCATGCATCATGCTAAACCCAGTCCTCCTAATTCTCAGTCACCTCACAGAGGTTGGACATTACTGGTTCTCACAACTATCATTTTGTAAACTTTGAACAATACTGCAGGCACACACACATGTGCACACACACACCACCACCACCACCACCACCACCACCACCATCATCCCACCCACACAGCCTTTAATGAAACTCTAATGCAGTTCCCTATGGCACTTGGCGATCAGGTCTTTGGGGACAATTCAAGTGAGAGGAGTTTGGGAACACATCCCATGGGGTTGTGTTCTTATAATGAGAAACAAAGAGACATTAAATATCAATGGTCTCTCTATCTCATTCTATCTCCTTCCCTTTTTTCCCCTCTCTGTCTCCATCTCTTTCTTCCTCTCTCTGTCTCTGTCATGTAAAATCACAGCCACCAATAAACCAGTACAGACTTATCTACAACCCACCCTGATCTCTGAGTTCTCACCTTCAAAACCTGAACTATTAAATCTCTGCTGTTGAGGCACACGGTGGGTGTGACTGGCCCCAAGGTCCTCAAGGAAGGTTCACCCTACTCATTCCCACTAGAAGTTAGAGTATCCTATTCTTCATACCCCCTGTTGGCCACTCACCAGCTGACCTGACCACTGTGGGCAAGGTACTGTCATGAAGCTAGATGAACACTTCAACTACTCAAGAGGAGGAAGAGGACCTTCCGTAACCCTTCCGTAGCTCCTTCCAATGCTGAGCCGTATGCTCTTGTCTATCGCAGAAGAGACTCTGCTTAGCCTCCACTGACTCCTGAATTAGCTCTTCCATCACTCCAACTGTGGCCCAGAAGTGGGATGGAGGATTTGAGCCCCAGCTATTTGATCACAGGCACGGGATCTAATCAGGCTGTGGGGTCCTGAAGCCCAGAGTCTAGATCATAGCTGCTTATGGGCAAGAGAATGATCTGAGGAGGGACAGCTATGCAAGAAACAGAAGGAAGCCAGAGAGGCCACCAGTCCCTGAGGATGTGTGTAAGTGAAGTGGGCCACTGAGGACAGCAGTAGAAAGCATCAGGCTGAGTCAAACCACACCAACCCACCTGCAGTTCATCAGGAACCAGGGAACACAGGCAGCCAGTGGGTGGGGTCAGACTCCTGAGGCAAAGTGTTCGGGTTGCAGGCAGCACAGAGAAAAGGCCAGAAGTGCTCAAGTGGGAAAAGGGTGGTGGAGTTCTTTCTGGATGGTGCCGTTAGATCTAGGATAGAAAAGCGGCAAAGGAAAGAGCTGTGGGTCCCCGGGATGCTGCAGGTGTGTTCTACAATCAGGGAGTCAAGCTGTTTCCACTCGGGTCCTCATGAGCTCAGCATAGACCTATCCCTGGCCCATGGCAGACCTAAAGCAAAAGATCTTAGTGTCAACTCTGAGCTCTCAGCGGTCCATGAATGCTGTTGAAATGAAAAGCTCCACAGCCTGCAGGCTTCTCAGCCTCCAGCTCCTAAGTCCAGCCTCCTCTGGTGGTCTCCTTGGCTGCCTCTGGACTCTGAGACACTCTTGCCTCCACGCTCTCCAACGTTTGCACTGGCTTTGTGGAAGCATTGTCCCAAGCGAGAAGCTCAAGTTAGTCTGTACCTGTCCATGAACGGGCAGTTTCTTCCACCTAGGAGAACTGTGGTCAGACCGAGGGCACCCACAGGTCCTGGGAGTCAAAGGCCTGCATCCAGAAATAGGGGCCTCTATAGAGTAGAAGGGATGCCACCGTGAGCAAATCTGCTCCATCTAATACAAGAACGAAGGCAATGGGTACTAGAGATAGCTCTGAGCAAGACAAAGGCTCTGCAGAAGGCCAGAAGCCATGGTAACAGGCAGATAGCCACATGGCAGTCACACCCACAAAAATAAGAA